ATCTTTTAAAATTAGTGAAAATAATGAAAAAAAAAAGTTGGGTGATCACGGTGAAACATCATATAAAATTGGATAATCGTGATGAAATAAAATTAAATTGGGTGACTACAATAATACTAAGTATAAAGTTGGGAAATTACGATGAAATAAATTCAATGATACAGTCACACCAAGAGTGAAGTTGTAAAGATGGGTGGTTAGTGGATTTTTTATCTATATTTTACAGAAATAGATTCTGAAGCACCCAACCTCGAATTTTTTGGCTCCTCTCTCGAGAATCATCTATCTCCGTAAGCTTGATCGATACCTTTACTTTACTATTTAATTACTTATTGTTGACCGATTTCTATCTCATTTATATTTAATTCCCTTTTTCCTAACATTTAATTTAAAATCAATGAGAGAATCGTATAATGATATAATCTGTAATGAACGTAATCGATTGATGAATGAATGGAAAATTTTTATTTTATTTTTCTCTACGTGTAAAATGATTATCAGTTGCTTGATTTCAGAGAAAACTGGAAAATTTAGAAATTTCATGGTCGCACTTTCTGAATTTTGTTAACATATGTTTTAGTTTGATTTTGAGAATTAGAATCGCTGCTTCCAGAAAAAAATTCCATCCTTTACCATTAAAGCTCTGTGATAAAACTCACTCGAAAAGAGTTACATTAATATTGATTTGTCTGATGGTGAGGGAGCCATATTTTTAATTTAAATGTTATTGAGAATTTGGTGAGAGTGTTTTCCTCTTTTCCCTTATATATAATATAGTTTTTCTTGGTTCATTGGTGACAATTTCGATTATTTACTTAAGAATATGATTTAACTTGTTCTAATTGTTAGTATTTCTCGTTATTTTCACAGGTGCGAGCATCTTATGGTGGCTTCTTAAAAGAAAAGGTTGGGATAAAGCCTTTCTTTTCAGATAGATAAGTAGTCTTCTTCCGATGATGAAATGAGGCGAGGCCCTCCCTGTTTCCCGGTAGAACATTATTTCATCCAAATTGTTTCGCAACGTGAAAAAGGAGTGGTCTACTGTTTAAAGTCTGTAATATAAGAAAGGGCATTTCAGGTTCATCTCTTGAAGAGAGAGGGTGCTGGTTTTGGAAGCTACTTTTAACTTCTGGGAGCTTGGGGTCCTCACTTATTTTCATAAAGTTTTATTTGCTCAAGAATTTTATTTTTGACCCTCTCTGTAATCACTATCCGCAATTATTGAGGATACTTTAAAAGGGAAGGGGTTTTGAGGGATTAAAATAGGTTGATGCCAGTGATCATCAGATCATGGATGCTGTTTGTTGCTGTTTGAGGGGTGAATTTGAAGATTTTGCTCATTCGAACAGCTCAATTTGTGCGAACTTTATGTGCATTCGTTGCTTTGTTCAGAATTTCTTACATGCGGTATGCTTTAAGTTATTTAGTGTCTATTTCAGTTTTTTTATTCTATTGATAAATTCAGTTTTGAGCTGCTGAGCGCTTTAAATTATTTACTGTCTATTTAAGTTTTTTGATTGGATTGATAAATTCAGTTTTGAGCTGCAGAGCCTTATGCATTACAGCTGTGCAATCTGTCCTCGTAACTAAAGATGTTCCAATTGGCTTGCAAATCTCTAAAACTTTCCTTAAAAAAAATCATTAACTTCTCTAAAGTTTCGTCTTTACATTATCTCAATTATTTGAACTGAAGAAATCGGATTTGATTTCTGCTTACAAAACTGTCCACAATAATAAGCTTAATGATTTAAGAGTTTCATAAAATATGTAGGTTTAAAGTTACGGCTCTTTCAAAATTTTACATGTGAATCCATATAATTTGCTAGCCTGAAAAGAAAAAACAATAAGAGTGAGGGGAAAAAATCACTATGTTGAATACAGAAGATTTCAATCGAATTACTTGACAGCTGAATGGGGTGCTTGGCTCTCCCCAGCCAAAATACCTAAACCTTACTCAAGGAAAGCTTCAGTTCAGGATTCTTGTTGGGTTAACTGTATAATTTTCTGTGCACGATACTGACATTAATTTTTATCATTAAAAATTTCGTGAATGTCAATTCACTGTCCGTTTGACTGTAGAATACTCATTATTTCATTTTGCAGTATACATTATTGTTTCATAGAGAAGAACAGGAAATCGCTTTGTCCACTCAGGGTACATCTTTTAGTTCTGCAGCATCACGTGATAATTCTCTAGTAGACATGTACCATGCTCCTCCAAGACCTCTGCCTTACGATGCAGATCCAAGATATTTTCACTTGCAGCAGGATGGAATGGTCTCTGGACGTGAGAAAGGCTCCAGTCATTCACACGAGGAAACTGAACCACTGAGGAGAACTGAAATCGATGAAGAGTCAGAATCTTTGAGCGGTACAAACAAATTGAAAGAGTTTACATGTGAAGTAGGATCAAAAGAATGCGATTTGAAATCAACACCAAGACTCTCAATAACTAAAACAACAGCAGGATTTGCTCATATTAACACTTTTTCAGAGGATGAAGATGTCTGCCCCACATGTCTTGAAGGTAAGAAAATAGCATTTTTAGTTTTCTGGCGTTTCCTTTGAGTAACCATTGTTCTTTTTATGTAAAGTATCTGAATTTGTTGTATTACTCAGGAATGCACATTAACTATTTTCCTTACGGCAGTTGACAAATATGCATTTTTGAACCAAACTTATCCTTATACTGATCTGGGGCCTATTAGTGTGAAACAAGAGTGTTTTACTGGGTAGCCCATAGTTTCCGGGACAGAGAATTTAAACAGTGAATTTTGGAATTTCCTCTGCAGCACCCACAATTTTTCTTCAACTTGTTTGCTCAAGTTGATGACTGCTGCAGCAAAATGCAACTCATAGTTAGAATATCCTGGATTCTGATTTTTCTTACTTTTGATTCAATGATCTTTTCTTGCAGAGTATAGTACAGAAAATCCAAAGATAATTACGGAATGTTCTCACCATTTCCATCTTGGTTGTATATATGAGTGGATGGAAAGAAGCGATAGCTGTCCAGTTTGTGGCAAGGTAATATCTGATCATTCCTAGTATTTTCTGTCTGCTTATTCTTTTAAGATTATAATTTCCTCATCTGCATTCTTGATTTTGTATAAACACAAACTTCCCCACATTACCTCTTACACGGAGTATCAATGGGAAATTACCATATCTTCTCAGGAGAAGCTTTTTTTTTCCTAATTGCCTTTTCTCCTCTATACAGTTAGTGCTGTTGCTTTTAGTGGCTAGTACACTAATGATACGACCAATTTGGCCTGTATGTCCAACATCAGTAATGATAGTTGCTTAATAGTCACAAAGTAAATAATTATTTTTCTGATGATTATTACCTAATCAATTGGCTTGGTGTCCCCCATTTCCTCGGGCATTTGGGAAGATTAGACCTTAACTGTAATTTTGCAGCCTTGGGTACTTTTTACAGCTTACAGCAGTTTGACGCTCAATAGAGGAACTATAGTTTAAATGAAAATATGATGAATTCAACTGAACCCGTTCAAGAACATTATGCCTGGCGAACCACTTTCCCCTGTATTGAGGAATTCTCCTTTGTTCCTGGATTTGGGCTTACTGGAACTTACCCAAGGACCATTTGCCTCCGAACTATCAAACCTATGATCTGGTGCTTTTACTCTGAGCAATGGTGTTTTTTGTCTCTTGGCATTATATAACTTCCTGCAAGATATTAGTTTCTCTACAAAGCCGATCGGGAGCAGACAAGACATGGGTTTCTGTTTTTTCATGATCTTGACTATCCCATATCAAAATTGAAAATAATTGACTTATTTTGACAGTAAGGGAGGAGTTACTTTCCAAATAACCAAGTAATATTTTTCACTTACAAAATGAACAAGTAACTTAGCCAAAGATGATTAAAAACAGAATGTGATCATGCAATTATATCCTCATTGAGCGTCAGACTGCTGGGTTTTGATTGTGAAACTGAGATGGATACAATTGCACGATCACGCATCTGTTTCGTCCTGTGGTTAATTTTGTTTACTTTGCTTTCCAGGTGATGGCATTTGATGAGACGACATGATCTTTCTGAGAAGGATAGTCGTCGATGAAACCAACATCAAACAGAAAGCGAAATAAAGAAACAGGAGTCAAACATATAAAGTAATTGTGAATATTCTATTCCATTATCTTATATTATGACATCACTCGAGCATAGTGTTGTCCCAGTAATAAGTACATTATTATTGCTTTCGACTACTTGCTTTTTCTGTATACTATTTTTCACACCGAGAAATTTTGCTCTCACCTCTTGATGAGGTGCTATCTTGTATGCCTTTCATTCTTCCACCAGTGAATTTCTTCTTTTGTTGAGATGAATTCACAGTATGTTGATTGTTTTACTGATTTTATATCAGAAGGTGAATTTATAGGGCAGTATATCCTGTCTGACAACCATTATTTTGGGAAAACAATGTTTTGAATAATGATTTTTAAAAGAATATGTGGTTAAAAAGTAAGGAAAGTTTCGATTTCACGTACAGAATATTTTATGGAGTGAATACGTGGTTGAAAATGAATAAATAGAAAAGAGTTTTTAAATAAATCTTGGTTGCTTTGAGAATTTGTGAAGTTTTTATGTCGTTCGAGGGAAGTGCACAACATGCACACAAGAAGGCCATAGCAAATATAAACCTGTATGCAAACTTGTTCTTTCCACATAAGAAAGTCTTCCAATAATTTTGAGTCTAATCTTTTTAAAAAAGCACATGCAATACTTTTGTCTTTCCGAGCAATTGAGCAACACTTTCAAAAGTCACTAATTCGATCATTTATTCTAACATTTTGCCATACATGGATTCAAATGGACGACTTTCAAACCAAGCACATACTAAGAGAAAAATAAGGGAAATCTCGTTTATCACACTACCTAATCCTTTGTACCAAACATTCACTTAGGATTTGGTGATGAAAACTTTTCTTTAAGCCATCTAAAATGTGTCAGCAACTTGCTGCTGTCTGGTAGATTTTCCTTAATCACTGGTTCTTCCTTAAAATTCACAGTCCATTCATATAATCGAGGCAAAATACTATGTTCCAGAATTTGTATGCCCACAACTTCTTGTGTGCATTCAAACCAATGAGCAAGCCAGCCAAATGATAAGTCCAATAATCCAATTTTATTGCCACCAAAAAATTTCTTATCTCCTAGAGCCTGATCTTGAATAATTTTCAGAATCTCCAGTACTTCTTTTGTTTCCTTTTCTTTATCCTCTTCAGTAGCCAGATAGAATGAGAAAAATGTGCGACACTTCAAAATCACAAGAATTTCTCAATTTCATGTTAGTATTGAATGAAGAAGCTAATTATAAAGGTATTAGAATTCAAAATTACCTTTTGCTGTCCAAAATCAATCCAGAATCGAGCCATGGCTCTCTCATGAGGATCTGCAGGCAGCAAAGGGTTCTGACTCCATGTTTCTTCGATGTATTCTAGGATAATCAGTGATTCTGCAACTGGTTTGCCGCCATGAACAAGCACAGGGACCTTCTTGTGAGCTGGATTGTACTGTAAAAGAGCCTGGCTTTTATTGGAGAGGTCTTCTTCTATGTACTCATATTGAACACCCTTCAGCTTCAGTGCCCATATCACTCTGTACACATAAGGGCTTGGCCAAAATCCATGTAGCCTTACTTCTTCCATTGTGGAAAAGATTGAAGATAAAATATTATTTCAAGTATTTAACTTGATTCTTTTTGTAGCTTTTATAGCTATTTACATGTTCTCTGTTCTTGATAAGACTCGAGAATTTTCCAAGAAACTGAGAGCACTCCTGGTGTCACCGCTTTCTGCAGTTTCCGAGAAGTTTGATCATTGATGATAAGTTGTGATAATAACACGTTGAAAATGACAAGTAAATAGTTTATGGTTGTCCTATTTATACATAACAATTTAAATAATAATTTATAAATAGATGATNAAATAATAATTTATAAATAGATGATGTAATGAAATTTAATTGAATCAAAATGTCATCAATCAAATAATTTTTCTACTTATATTTTTACACTTTATCATCATGTAAAATATTATGTAAATAATTATGTACAAGAAATACTTTCCAATAATTTATGATCTTTCAAGACAAAAAATAAAAATAAAAATACATTTAACAAATTTTGCAGCCGCTTGGAAAGTTCTCAGGAAGGTCTAAGGTGGTTGGCCTCCACTCAACTGGTGCTTACCATTTATCTGTTGCAATAATGAGTTAGCTTTGGTTTGGTATTGATATCTAAGTTAAAATCAACCATTGATTTTTGCCACATATTTTATGAAATTGACAATTTTTCAACCATATATTTCTTTAACTTTTATTAAAATCTACTAAAAATTTGATTTTAATCCCCATCAAACAAGACATTAGTTTAGAAACTATTGTTGGCATTATTATTTCATCGTTGGAAGGGATTTTTCCTCGACTTACTACATAATATGGGACTCCACTTATGTATGCCGAGTACCAAGATCCTAGTTTACCTTCTCCAAAAAACAAGTTTTTGTTGGTCACGTTAATTAAATTACGCTAATGTTTTACTACAAATCGAGCAGTCAGCGACATCTAAGAATGAAATATCCTTTTGTCTATTTGATATGATAGACTTGACCGTATTGAAAAGAATTAAGGAAGAAAATAAATAAAATTATTTGTTTAATTTAGTACTAAGTATCTTACATTAGTATCTTACATGACATTCACGTTCAAAGCTTTTGTAATTTCAATGAGGAAAATGTTGTGATTCTCTAATCACGAAAAAGAAAATAAAAGAGGAAAAACAATTCTATTACTATCGTGAATAGAATTTACAATATAGTTTTACAAACTCTCAACAAAACATCATAAATCTCTCTCTGATATCTATTTTCCTATCTTTACCATGGGGTTAATTCTCTGTAAATGCATCCTCGTGATCAATATCATCTTCTTCCTCCTCATGTTCTGCTTCTGGCATTTCCTCAAGCACTTCGTCATTATCTATGGTGAATTGTGATGGTGTTGGGTTTGGAGCAATATTCTGGGCACTGAATTTAAGATTAGGAGACATTGTGGGATTTTCAATGTCTTCTAATTTTTGGTCTTCATGGAACACTACGTTCCTACTTCTAATGACCTTCTTTGTCTTTGGGTCCCATAATCTGTATCCAAATTCCTCATCTCCATCGCCTATAATGATGGATGGAGTGGTCTTTGTATCTAGCTTTTGTCTTAGCTCCTTGGATACATGTGCAAAGACTAAATAACTAAATACTCTTGGGTGAGAGTATGAAGGATTCTTACCGGTCCATACTTTCTCCAAAATTTCAAAATTCAATGGTACTGACGATAACCTGTTGATCAAGTAGCGGCGACTCGCACAGCCTCTCCCTAGTATGGCTTTGGCAGCTTAGCCACACTGAGCATGCTTCTGACCTTTTCCATGATTATCCGATTCATTTTCTCTGCTACTCCATTATGTTGTAGGGTGCGTGGGATCGTCTTCTCATGTCGAATATCGTATCTTCTACAGTAGGCATCGAACTCTTTAGAAGTGTACTTGCCTCCATTGTTTGAGCGGAGACACTTCAACTTCTTTCCTGTTTCACGCTTTACCATGGCATGAAATAATTTTAAGTAATCTAATACCTGATCCCTTATCT